CTCTCTCTTTAAAAAAAAAAAAAAAAAGCAAATAATGAGGGCTGGGGATATAGCTCAGTTGGTAGAGTACTTGCCTCGCATGCACAAGGCCCTGGGTTCAATCCCCAGCACCACAATAATTAAATAAGGGCTGAGGATATAGCTCAGTGGTCTAGTACCACTGGGTTTAATCCCCAGTATTACAAAAACACAAGCAAATTTTAAAAACAGCGGCAACAACAATAAATCCACTTAAATACCACTAGTATGAGCAAGGCCATAGATTTGATCACCAGCACCAGAAAAAGAGAAAAAAAAAAATTAAATGCCACTAATTTTGTATTCTTCCTCTCTGAGAGCTCGACCCAGGCCCAGTGATAGGCTATCTATAAATGCTGCACCTGCCGGTACTTCACCATCTCCTGCTAGGATTTTTCAGTAGATTCCTGACTCTTATTTCAGTTACTGGGCAGCATAAGATCCCACCCAGGAGCAAGATGTGGTGGCCCATGCTTGTAATCTCAGCAAATTGGGAGGCTGAGGTAGGAGGATCCTGAGTTCAAAGCTAGCCTCAGCAAAAGCAAGGTGCTAAGCAACTCAGTGAGACCCTGCCTCTAAATAAAATTCAAAATAGGGCTGAGGATGTAGCTCAGTGGTCAAGTGTCCCTGAGTTCTATCCCCAGTACCAAAATAAATAAATAATGAAAAGGGTAATTTACCATTGAGCTATACTCCCTGTCCTTATTTATTTATTTATTTTTGGTATTGGAGATTGAACCCATGGGGGGGCTTAACCACTGAGCCCAGGCCATTTATTTATTTATTTAGAGTTTTATTTAGAGTTGCTTAAGGCCTCACCAAATAGCTGAGGCTGGTTTTGAACTCCTGCCTCAGCCTCCCAAACTGCTGGGATTACAAGCTTATGCCATCACACCTGGATTGTTTTTTTTGTTGTTGTTGTTTGTTTGTTTTGTTTTGTTTTTGACACAGGGGTCTTGCTAAATTGCCAAGGCTGGCCTCAACTTGAGATCCTCCTGCCTCGGCCTCTTGAGCTGCTGAGATTCCAGGTGTACACCACTGAACCAGACTAGGAAAATAGGTCTTATTCAAAGCCAGCCTTGAAGGAAGGCAAAGGAGACGTCACTGTTTCAAAAGTTCCATCTGCAAAAAGCTCTGGGATGAGGACAGCTGTATTTACTTAGGTACTGGGGATTGAACCCAGGGGTACTTTACCACTGAGCTACATCCCAGCCCTACTTATTCATTATTTATTTAATTAATGGAAGCATTGCCTTGCTATGTTGCTGAGGTTGGTGTCACAGAAGGCTTTCTTTAGAACTTGGAACATGAGGGAAGGAGAGAGAGAGAGAGAGAGAGAGAGAGAGAGAGAGAGAGAGAGAAAGCATGCAAGCACCCAGTGCAATAGTCCACATCCGTTTGGGCCAGTGGTTTGGGAGGCTAAGGCAGAAGGACTTTGAGTTCAAAGCCAGCTTCAACAATTTAGGCCCTAATTAATTTACTGAGACCTTGTCTTAAATTAAAAAATAAAAAAGAGCCCAGCACAGTGATGCACGCCTGTAATCCAAGCAGCAGGAAGATCATGAGCTCAAAGCCAGCCTCAGCAACAGTGAGGCACTAAGCAACTCAGTGAGAGCCTGTGTCTAAGTAAAATACAAAATAGAGCTGGGATGTGGTTGAGTTAGGTTTAGGGTTACCCTTACCCTCAGTGGTCTAGTCCCCCTGAGTTCAATCCCTGGTACCAAAAATAAATAAATAAATTGAATGAATGAATGAATGAAAAAAAAAAAAGTATTGGGGCTGTGGCTCAGTGGTTAAGTGCCCTTGGGTTCAATCCCCAGTATGGGGTGGGGGACACACACAAAAGAGAGGATGTTAGAGATGGAGGAATAGATTGGAGAAAGGTTGGGAGGGATAGCAGCCTCCCTGTCTTCCACTTTCAGCCTGAGGAAGCAGTTCTCATGGGGGCAGGACGCCTTTAGTCTGTTTGCTCTCTGGTCCCTCTTCCCAGCAGATTCTGCACCTGCCTCAGTCCCCATCTGGGTCCTCCTCTCTTTTTGGCTTTCAGAGTTCTGCCCCGCCCACCTCCCCAACCTCCTAGGCTCACCCCAAGGGAACAGAGTCTTCAGCCACTCTGGGCTCCTAACCACTTCCCAGGCCTACCCAGTGTCCTCCATCTCTGCTCACACAGCTGCCCCTGCCTAAACAGCCCTCCCTTCCTCCTATCCATTAAATGGATCAATTGAACAGAGTTTTCTCTCAGATGTTTTCCATTGAAGAACTTGCCCCTGGATATTTGTACTGAAATATACCAAAACCAAAATTCAGCACAAGGCCTTGGGTTTGATCCCCAGCGCTACAAACAAACAAACAAACAAACAAAAAACTGGGCATGGTGCTGCACACCTGTAATCCCAGCAGCTTGGGAGGCTGAGGCAGGAGGATTGAAAGTTTGAGGCCAGTGTCAGCAATTTAGCAAGACCCTGTTTTAAGATTTAAAAAAAAATAATAAGATAAAATAAAAAGGACTGGGGATGTAGCTCAGTGGTAAAACCTCCCTGGGTTCTAAACCCAGTACCACAAAAATAAATAAACTTGAATTTGATTCTCGAGGTGGATAACAATGGAGGAACTCCATCTGCAGGGACATGGTGTTCAGTTGATCCTATAATGTTCGATAGGGGTCCACGGGACTCCTTTTGTCTCCTAATTGAATCCTTGTCCTCACCCTTGCCAACCACATGCTCCCGCTGTTTCTGATCTATACCCCCCACCCCATTCAATCTGGGTCCTGTTCTTGTCTTCACACAGACCCTCAGCTCCTTCCTGAGAGCCGGGACAGCAAACATCAAGAGGGTGGGAGCAGAGAAGGGGCGACAATTAGGGCTGACCCGGCCACCAGGCCACCAGTGAATGCTTTAAGGTAAATAAGGAATCCCTGGGGGGTCCCAGCTACAAACCAGGTTCTGAGTGTCCCTCTAGGCGAGGGCTGGAGGCCCTCCTGCCTAACAAGCTCCCAGGTGTTACCCATGTGTCCACACTGGGGACCACTTCACGCAGCTGCAGGGGCCTAGCTGGCTGGGGAAGAGAGGCCAATGGAGCACAGGTGAAGAGCCTCCATCCAGGGGTATAAGATGGCTGGCTGGGGCTTGCACGCAGCACAGCAAGAGGCACTCTTCGGCGCCATGGAGCTGAGCTACGGCCTCTTCATCTGCTCTCTGCTGTGTGTGGGCACAGAGCTGTGCTCCCCACAACCTATCTGGATCTCGGCTGGGCCCACCCAGCTGCTGCTGCCTGCATCCCCCGTGGAAGTGGAGTGTCTGGAAGCCCAACTGGTGGTCGCTGTCAGCAGGGACCTTTTTGGCACCGGGAAGCTAATCCAGCCTGCTGACCTCAGCCTGGGCCCTGAGGGCTGTGAACCCCTGTTCTCTGTGGGCACCGCTGATGTGATCAGATTTGAGGTTGGCCTGCATGAGTGTGGTAACGGTGTGCAGGTGAGGCTGGGCCCCTGGCCCTGGTGGGGGGGACAGCCTGGTTGCAGTCATGAAGGGACTCTTCCCTTGTAGATGGGGAGGTGACTCAGCTGAGCCCCGAGCCTGGACATTGGGGGTGGCCATGGGGAGGCTCCTGGCTGAGGCTACTGAAACCTGGGAGGTAAAGTAGAACATGGTGACAGTGACCGATGGGCCAGACCAGGCACCCCACTCTGCCTCCTTCTGACCACTTCCTCCACCCACAGAAAGGATGCAGGAGCGATGGACCCAACATAGAACAGGGAGACAGAGGATAACCCTGCGGGTAGCCAGGTACTTGCCAGGGGCGTTAAAAGAGTCTTTGACACTTCAGAAAGCCTGCCATAACCAGCAACGCAGGAGGATCTCAAGTTTAAGACCAAACTTAGAAACTTAGAGGCCCTGACTCAAAAAGGGCTGGGGATGTGGCTCGGTGGTAAAGCAACCCTAGGTGCAATCCCTGGTTTCCCCCTCAAAAAAGCCTAAAAGTTGTCACTGGGATGGGGAGGAAGAGAGAAGAGAATTTTGGCTTGCCTCCTGTTTGAGGGCTTGAAGCTTTGAACTAAAAGGATTATGGGCCGGGGCATCGTAACTTACCTTCCTGTTGAAGATTCCCAGGCTTCCTTTGGGTGCCTGGGAGCAGGTCCAAACAGTAGAGGCTTAACATGGGATGCAGGTTAGAAAGAGACCTCAGGTAACCTACGCCACGCCCCTCCCCTAAGGAAGTGGACACTTGGCAAGGCAGGACACAGGGCTCCCCAGCTAGTCCTGATTCCCCTGGACCTACATCTGTTGGCCTATGGAGGGCCAGTCCTCCCCTCCATCACAGGGCCCTGCTTCTGCTCTGCTGACCCTGGACTCTACTTGGCCGGGAGAGGGCAATACAGCTCCTGGACCCCTATAGGCTGAGCTCTGGTCTCAAGTGTGATTTCCCCCAGGAATCTCCTCAAGAACTCCCTGTCCTTGTCTTCCTGGGGAGCCAGAGCTACAGCCTCGGTTGTGGTGTGTGGGTTGTTTTTTTTTTTTTTTTTTTTTTTTAACTAAGGAATTGAGCTCAATCCTCTTTTTTTAAAATAAGGAAAAAACCTCACTAAGTTGCTGAGGCTGGCCTCAAACTTGTGATTCTCATGCCTTAACCTCCCAAATTGTTGGGATTACAGGCAGGTGCTACCACACCCAGTACTGTAAGAGTTGTTTGAAAAATTAGTGTAGCCCAGCGCAATAGCGCACACCTGTAATCCCAGCGGCTCAGGAGGCAGGAGGATCACAAGTTCAAAGCCAGCCTCAGCAATTTAGCCAGATGCTAAGCAACTCGATGGGACCCTGTCCCTAATAAAATACACAATAGGGCTAGGGATGTGGCTCAGTGCTCAACTATCCCTGAATTCAATCCCTGGTACCCCCCCTCCAAAAACAACAACCAAAAAAATTTAGTCTAGCTTAGTCCCAAATTCTAGAATAACCTGGGGAGCTTCCAAAAATCCTGAAGTCCAGGCTGTACCCCCCACTAAAGTGGAACGGGCATGGGAGGCAGCCATGAGCATCTGAGTCTCGGGTGAAGCCTCCAGCAAAGCCTGGCAGCTTCTTCCTTTGCCAGTGTTCTGCCTCCTGCCTGATGAGGTTCACCTGGCCCTGGGCTCAGTTTAATGCTCCGCCCTGAAATTATTCTCTTAAATGAGAGGCTCCACAAATTCTGCTGGCCCTGTCTGGGGCACTTACAGATCCAGAACTGCCCTCTGAAGATCTAGGATGGGGGGCAGCTGGGCCACAAGGGACCTCCTTTCTAGGCAGGCTCTGTAAGGGGAGGTGAAAAGACCCCTGGCAGGGCCTGCTTGTCTCCTCCATCCTCAGGAGACCACTGCACCTTCCCCTGCTTCTGTGAAGTGGGCCCCAGATAAGGTGGGAAGGTGATAAAGTGAAGACTGGCCAGGCTCGATGGCACACGCCTGTAATCCCAGCAGCTCAGGAGGCTGAGAAGGGAGGATCAAGAGTTCAAAGCCAGCCTCAGCAAAAGCAAGTTGCTAAACAACTCAGTGAGACCCTGTCCCTAAATAGGGCTGGGGATGGGGCTCCATGGTCAGTGGCCCCAAATTCAATCCATGGTAGCCACCAAAAAAAGGCACCAAGCTGCCCCTAGGTCTTTCTTGCCTCCCTACCCCAATAAGAAATTGCCCATGGCCAGGTGCAGTGATGCACACCTGTAATCCCAGTACTCGGGAGGCTGAGGCAGGAGAATCACAAGTGTGAGACCATCAGTGGCATAATATCTCCGAGTTCAAGTCACAGTACCGCCCAAAAGCGTTGTGTATATCCTGAGGTCACTGGGCACTGCTTCCTATCTGCCTGCCACGTAGCTGATGCAGACACCTACAGGGGTGTCAGGTAAAGACCCTGAGATATTAAGAGGATACCTGCCCAGCCCCTCCTTGCTGGTTGGTTTCACCCCAGCAGGCTGCCCTCCCTGCACTCTCACAGGGGCCAAACCTGCCTGGGCCAAGTGACGCCTGTACTGCTAACGCCTCACCTTTGCTTCAGGTGACAGATGATGCCCTGGTGTACAGCACCTTCCTSCTCCATGACCCCCATCCCATGGGAAACCTATCCATTGTGAGGACCAACCGCGTGGAGATTCCCATTGAGTGCCGCTACCCCAGGTCAGTGTGGGACAGGACGTTTTGGCCCCTAGTGGCTATGTCCCTGGTTTGCCATGGCTGCAGGCAGGTGGCTTGGCTGGTTGGAACAGTTTGCAGGTGGCTATGAGAAGGGAAAGTGCCGGCAGCTGTGGTCACTGCCCTCAGCCTGCGTGGAGGTGGGGGTGCCTTCTGAATTGTCTGAGCCTCTGACTTGCGTGGCCTCTTAAGGGAGGTTTAGAGTAGCCCTAGACCTTGGGGGGGGGGTGTATTAGGCCATCCCAGGCCCTCCTCAGGGTCAGAAGCAGTCTTTGAGTAGTGTTGCTGTGACTGAGACCCTGTGTCAAAATAAAAAGATGGGGATGTGCCCTGGTGGTTAAGCACCCCTGGATTCGAGCTCGAGTACCAGGAAGGGGAAAAAATACTGCTGCTACAGTAGTTCCTACACCAAGTCCTGGCCCTGCAGCCCCTAACATGAAACATGTGCCTATGAATTTTACCACCAAAGCAGGACGTGAGGGTGACCAGGCCCGTGCAGTCAGGGTTGGGTCCTATGTCGGGCTCAGCGGAGGGCATAGGCCTTAGTCCTGATCACAAGTGTAGATGTTCAGGAGGATTTAAGGTCAGGCTCAGGCTTTGGGTACCTTGGCCTAGCTGCCTGTGGGCCATCACTGAGGACATTGCCATAGAGAAACCGGACACCCCCTGCTGCCATAGGCCCTAGGGTGGTGGAGGGGGGTGTGCCCTGGGCCCGTGTGGGCAGCTGTGACGATTCTCCCAGGCAGGGCAATGTGAGCAGCCAGGCCATCTGGCCCACCTGGGTGCCCTTCAGGACCACAGTGTCTTCAGAGAAGCAGCTGATTTTCTCTCTGCGCCTGATGGAGGGTGAGCCGGAGGTAGGGAGCGAGGGGAGCTGGGAGGGGAGCTCTGGGCAGTCTCTAGCCCTGGTTGTGTCCTTCAGAGAACTGGACCTCTGAGAAACTGTCCCCCACCTTCTACCTGGGAGACACCGCCTACATCCTGGCCGATGTCCACACTGGCAGCCACCCGCCACTGCACCTGTTTGTAGACCACTGTGTAGCCACCCCGACCCCAGACCAGAGCGCCTTGCCTCGGCACAGCATTGTGGACTTCCATGGGTGAGGCCTGGGCTGACTTTCCAGGGAGTCTTAGTCACTAGATGGCCCGTAGCCCATGTACCCAGCCTCTAACATGTTCCCTTGTTCCCTTCCAAGTTGCCTGGTGGACGGTCTCTCTGATGGCTCTTCTGCATTCCAAGCTCCCAGGTCTAAGACCGATGTTCTCGGGTTCACCATGGATGTGTTCCACTTCGCTAACGACTCCAGAAATACGGTACTAGCTTTTTAAAATTGCCTAAAAGATTGAACTCTGGGGGCTGGGAATATAGCTCAGTTGATAGAGTCCTTGCCTTGCATGAACGAGGCCCTGGGTTGAATCCCCAGAACCACCAAAGGGGGAAAAAGAAGCATGACCCAGAGTTCAGTTTTTTTTTTTAAATACATGACAGCAGAATGCATTACAATTTTTATTACACATAGAGTACAATTTTTTTTCATATCTTTTTATGAGAATTTTTTAAATATTTTTGTACTCGGCGGACACAACATCTTTGTTATGTGGTGCTGAGGATCGAACCCGGGCCACACGTATGCCAGGCGAGCGCGCTACCGCTTGAGCCAAATCCCCAGCCCTCAGTTTTTTTAATAGCTACCATCTCAGCCACCAGGAGGCTATGCCTGTAACCCTAGCAGCTGAGAAGGCTGAGGCAGGAGGATTGAGTCCAAAGCCAGCCTCGGCAACTTGGCAAGGCCTTGTGCCTAAATACAAAAAGGCTGAGGATGTGGCTCAATGTTAAGTACCCCTGGGTTCAATCTTGGGTATCAAAAAAATATATATATCCTCCTGATGTCCCTCACTGGTGTTTCCTTAAGCAAATGACTTACTAGTAGAGATAGCTGTAACTCTAAACTTGAGGGCCTCAATAAAGGCCACAGGTTCATCTTCTTGGCCTGAGCTAACACAAATCCATAAGCAGGGCTGGGGATGTGGCTCAAGCGGTAGCGCGATCTCCTGGCATGCGTGCGGCCCAGGTTCTATCCTCAGCACCACATACAAAGATGTTGTGTCCGCCGAAAACTTAAAAAAAAAAAAAAAAAAATAAGCGGGTAGAAAATCCATGCAGGATGGGGCTAGTTTGGGATCCTAGAACTAGAAAAAAACTAGAACAGGGACCCAGGTGACCTAGCTGACAGCCCAAATAAGACCAATAACTACTGGGCTTGGTCACCAAGCTGTAGGGCCAGAACCCAGAGGATGATAGGTTGAGTGGAGGCGTTGGTCCTCCAGGAGCAAAGAGCTGCTGTGACCCCCTCTGCTGAGTCACCCCTTGGACTTGATCCTAGGCTAGACCAGTGACAGAAACCAGTTACACCTGGGGGGGCTTTGAAACAGATTGCTGGGCCCCACCCCTTGGGCTTGATTTAGTAAATCAAGACTAGAGCTGAGAATTTCTATTCCTAGCAAGTTTTCAGGTGATGTCAACCTTGTTGGTCCAGGGTGCCCCCTTGCCAACTACTAAGCTGGAAAAGAAAACTAAGGGATGGAGAGGCAGGGAGACGGGGAGGAGGATGGTGTGGGAAGCGCTGGCAGAGCTACAAAGTATTGTGGACTCCTACAGTGAAAAATCAAGCTGCTATTAAAAAAACAGTTCCCAGATATGGGAGTGGGAATGGGAAGCCTGGCATAGCTGATCAGGTAAAGTAGGGTGTTTTAAAGATGCAGGAAATTGAACTCGGGACCTTACCACAAGTGAGAGCAATGATCCACCACTGAGCTACATCCCCAGCACAAAACAAGATTTTTTTTTTTGTACCGGAGATTGAACTCAAAGGTACTTAACCATTGATCCCCATCCCCAGCCCTATTTTCTATTTTACTAGAGTCGGGGTCTCACTGAGTTGCTTTAGTGCCTCACTGATGCTGAGGCTGGATTTGAACTTGTGATTCTCCTGTCTCAGCCTCAGCCTCCAGAGCCGCTGGGATTATAGGTGTGCGCCACCGTGCCTGGCCAAAACGGGGTTTTTTAATGTTGATTCTCTACTGATCACCTAGGGAGGTCACAAAAATACTGATGCCTGGGCTAGGGGTGTAGCTTGGTGAAGATGTAGTTCACATGTGCAAGGACCTGGGTTCAATCCCCACAAAGACTACATAATCCCACATTTTCACTTAACTAGGTGGGAAGTTGGGTTTTATAAACACACCTACCATCTAGGTTTTACTGTTAGCATTTTATTTCTTGGTACCAGGGATTAAACTAGGGGTGTTTAACCACTGAGCCATATTACCCAGCTCCTTTGTCTATTTTAGAGACCCTTAAGGCCTCATTAAATTGCTAATCRGCCTCAGCCTCCTGAGCTGCTGGGATTACAGGCTATCATTAGCACTTTACTATATCATCTACTAGCATTTTGTTGTATCTGTCTTATTAAATGTTTGATACATTTCTCTCAGGTGATCCTAGTAAGCAGCCAAGTTTACCAACCAACGAGATGGGCTCATCTGGCTAGGCAGTGTTAAGGGACAAAGGGGGAGTTGTAGAGCATGACATTGACCCTATCTCCCCAGCTCCAACCTTGCTGGGGGGGGGGGACAACTGTTTGATACAGATGGGTAGGTGACAGGTGGGGCGGGAATCTGATGCTGAGATGGCCGGAAGCTCTCCATGGAGGGTCCTGGGTTGAAATGGGACTGGGGAGAAAGAACAGATATAGAAAAGGGGTGTCCTGGTCCTCAGATCAGTGACCTTGTGGGTCTTATGGTAGAAGATCTTGGTTGGAGCAGGGAGCTGATGTTGACAGCAGATGTGGGTGGAGGGGAGTAAAATATAAGCCTTGGTACGGGTGCTGGCCAGCTACAGGGGTGCGAGTGGAGCTGGTGACCCCTTTAAGATTAGAGGACAATTTGGATTCATGGAGCCTAGGACTTGGGCAGGCTCACCCTCAAACGTGGAAGGCATGGCTTGGTGGATGGTGGCCCAAGGCACAGGGAGAAGGAACAACTTTTAAGAGCTGTAAGGGGCTGGGTACAGTGGAGCACACTTGTAATCCCAGTGGTCTGTGAGGCTGAGGCAAGAGGATCGAGAGTTCAAAGCCAGCCTCAGTAACTTAGCAAGGCCTTAAGCAACTGAGAGACCCTGTCTCTAAATTAATAAAGGGCTGGAAATGTGGCTCAGTGACTAAGTGCCCTCGAGTTCAATCCCTGGTACAAAAAAGAGCTGTAACTAGGATGAGGCACAGCACACACCTATAATTCAAGCTACTGGGGATGCTGAGGTCGGAGGATAACAAGTTTGAGATCAGATTTAGCTATTTAGCAAGAACCTGTCTCAAAAGTTATAGGGGAACATCTGGGGATCTTGGGCTCTAGGTTAGCACCAAAAGAAAAGTCAGGGGGGACACTAAAGACAAAAGCAGCTCCCCTTTATGGAGTAAGGACTTTAAAGGACCTGGAAGCTATCTTCTTGTAGGACAGATGGATAGGCAGGCAGCCAAAAACACATCCTAGATCCGCAAAGGTCTAGCTCTAAGTTTCTGAAATGGTTTCACTTGGCCACTAGAGGGTGGCCAAGGCTTGTGGCTCTGCTTGAGGCTTCAGCTAGAAAGTGGTAGACAAGGTAAACAAGGAGGTATCCAAACCCTACCTAGAACATGCAAGGGATCCCTAACTTGGAATGGCTCAGGGCTGAACTGAACCCAGGCTGTCAGAATACCCCCTGCCACGCTGGGGCATATAGCTCAGGGGAGATGCACTTGCATGCCTGGGGCCATAGGTTAGATCAAAGGGCAAAACAAGAAAAGCTCTCAGCCCAGGTGCTGAGCTGGGGTGTCAGACTCCTGGTGAGTAGCTTCTGGGGACATAGATCCTTCAACTCCCAGCAGGAGTTTTTTACTAGAAGAACAAAGTGACAGGTCAGAGGCTGTGGCTAGGCCAAGTCTAGCCAGGGCACTAGCCTGATCATTATCACTAAAGCTGCTCAAGAGCCTGTATGGTGGCGCAGGCCTATAATCCCAGCAGCTCAGGAGACTGAGGGTGGAGGATCATGAGTTCAAAGCCGCCATCAGCAAAAGCGAGGTGCTAAGCAACTCGGTGAGACCCTATCTCTAAATAAAACCCCAAAATAAGTCTGGGGCTCTAGCTCAGCAGTTGAGTACCCCTGAGTTCATCTCTGGTACAAAAGAAAAACTTGAAAAAGCTGACAGGACAAATGGATAGAAGACACAGGCTGGGCTGGGGCTCAGAGGTAGAGTCCTTGCCGAGCTTGTGAGTCCGGGGTTCAATCCCCAATTCTGTGCAAGCAGGGCAGGGGTCCGGGGGAGCATATGCCTAAGGAAGAGAAACTCGGGGAAACATTTTCAAGGAAATAGCCAGAAAATTTTTCTGTCTGGTGCAAACTCTAGAGAAGCTAGTACAAGAGATCTCTCTGTTCAAGGACCTTGGGTCACAGAAACCACTTTCCTTTGAAAAATGGTACTATCCAGTGACTACATTCCTGAGAAGTAGTTTGTCAACCTGTCAAGTGACAGGTGGCAATCTCAGAAACCCAGCTAAGCTGCCTGCTAGGAAGGTGTCTACCACCCACTGGGTCACCTGGGTCTGAGTGGAGGGCTTTCACAATACTCAATCCTCCCCTCATCACTGAGGGGCTGACTTCATGAGCCCAGGGCTCACGGTGCCATGTGATGGAGACTATTTGGGAAAGGATCCATGGAAATGATGGGTTCCAGCTCAGAATTAGATTTGCTACTCATTCTGCAATCTTGGGGTAAATTGAAGGATGGAAGTTCATCTTCCAGACCCCTGGAAGGGMTAAGGGTTATAGAACCAGTTTGTCAAAGTCTCCAGCACACCTGCTATTTCTTTCAGATCTACATCACCTGCCATCTGAAGGTCATTCCTGCCCACCAACCCCCGGATCAACTCAACAAAGCCTGTTCCTTCAACAAGTCCTCCAACAGGTGAGGAGAGCAGATTCTGTGTCCCTGGGTGGAAACCTAACCAGGGATGCCTGGCGTCTATTCCCCCCAGTATTCCCGCAGCCACACTTCTGTCAGCAAGGAAACTCAAGCCGCTTGTCTTCCCTTCTCAGCTGGTCGCCAGTCGAAGGCTCTGCTGAGATCTGTGAATGCTGCGGCAGGGGGGACTGTGGCACACCAGGCTCTTCCAGGAGGCAGTCCCCTGTCCAGGGGCCCAAGGCCACGTCACGAAACCGCAGACATGGTATGTCACCATGGGCCAGTCACGGAGTTTTAGTTTTCCTCATATTCTAGGACACCTGTCATCTTGGTAATATTTTCCCTTGTCCCTCACTGAGGCTGTTGATTCCGGGGATGTGGCTTAGGGCTATATACAGAAGGCTAAAAGGGCTCTGAGCACCTTCCAATAGCAGATGGGACTCTGCGCCCTGGGATTCTCCTGGGACATAATAGGGAGTGTTGGGAGAATCAACAGCTGTTAGAGCCAAATCTAGTTCAGCTTATGAAGACGGCAAAATCCACAATCCGACTCCTGGTGAGGGACAAAAGTGACCTTCAGGTGTCCCACTCCATTCACAGTGACTGAAGAAGCAGATATCACCGTGGGGCCACTGATTTTCCTGGGAAAGGCTGACGACCGTGGCGACCATGGTGTGGAGGGTTGGCATACTCCTGCTCACGCCTCCATGGCGCTGGGCCTGAGCCTGGCTGTGGTGGCGTTCCTGACCCTGGCTGCTGTTGTCCTGGGTTTTGCCAGGAGGTGCCACACTGCTTCCCACCCCGTGTCCACTCCTTAATAAAAGAAAAGCAACTCTGGATGTGGTGCAGTGCAGACTGTCTGAACAGCGCAATTCCGCAAGCAGGCCTGACTCCGGATGCCTGTCTAGACGGTCTGGAAGCCCTGGGACGTAGACCTGTATTTTCCTGGTTTGGGGTCATATGTGGTCTTCTGGGGTACAGATCTCACTTCTCCAGGGGCAACTGTATAATTTGATTCCAAGGAAACCACAATAGAAGCTGTTGGACAAGAGCAGGGTACACCCAGCCAACCTGTTTTCTAGGTAAGAATCTTGCAGTTCTGGCCTTGGGTGATAACCGTTGTCCATCCCGAGTATGTTCAGGGTGCATGCTTGCCACAGCCAAGCCGGCGTTCCCAAGCCTTCCACCTTCTCAGTGTTAACTGCCCCTAGAGCATCCCAGCTTTGGGGCTACTGCTGTGCACCTGGGGGGGGGGTTCTTGGAGGCAAAATAGGGCTGGAACCTGCTGGGCAGGGCTCTTGGACACCAGTGGGAGCTGGGATGCTGAAAGGTCCTTCATATTCTTCATCTTTGGCCTGGGGTCTTGCTGAAGGCAGGGTTTCAAATGTGGTTACAGAGCTGAGTATGATGCCCCCGTATCATCCCAGTTACTCAAGAGGCTGAGGCAGGATAGGAAGTTTAAGGCCCTGAGAAACTTAGTGAAACCCTGTCTCAAAGGGCTGGGATTGTCTCTCAGCAGTAGAGCACTTGCAAGGCCCTGGGTTCAATTTTCAGCACCATTTTAAAAAAATTAAAAAAAAAAAAGGCTGGGGAATCTGGGCACTTTGGCACACGCCTGCAGCTCAGGAGGCTGAGATGAGAGAATCACAAGTTCAAAGCCAGCCTTGAGGATGGTGAGGTGCTAAGCAACTGGTGAGACTGTCTCTAAGATAAAACAGGGCAGGGGATGTGGCTCCATGGTCAAAAATCTCTGGGCTCAATCTGCTGTACCATGAGGGAGAGGCTGGTATGTGCCAGGCCCTGGGTTCCAGCCCCAGCACTACAAAAAATTTCCCCTGAAGTACAGTGGCCAGGGATTGGCAACAGGGAGGAAGGGCACCTCCCCTGGCCTGGGTAGGGCAGCAGGAGACTAGAGGGGGTGCTTCCTGGAGATGGCGTTCCTACAGCAAATCCCCAAAGCACTATAGGGGAGGTGGGTGTGGAAGAACAGAGGACCACGGCTTCCAGGAAAGTGGTGGAGGGGACCCCACAGTCTGGATGAGGGAGCAGCTGCAGGGCTTGGAGCCAACATGGCCTCAGTGTGCCCGGACCTACCTTTCCTACCGGGAAGAGCAAGTGGAACCAACAGAGCATGGYCTGGAGCCTGGGAGAAAACTGTCCCTGGAGCCAGGCTCTCCAGGCCCCAGAACTGGCTTCCTGCTATGTCTAGCTGGGCAGGCAACCTCATGGGTGGAGGATTGAATGAACAGAGCATGAAGTAGGATCATGGTTCACACACAGCACCCTGGCAAAGAGCTCTGAGGTTGGAGTCAGGTTGTCCCTGGAGGAGTTCCCAGAGAGGAGAACCTCAACTTGGGGCAAGTGGGGTCCTTGGTGTCTCAAAAGAATTTCATAGGGCTGGGGCTGTAGCTCAGTGGTAGAGCATCTGCCTGGCATGTGTGAGGCACTGGGTTCAATCCTCAGCACCACATATAAAGGTGTTGTATCCATCTACAACTAAAAAAAATTTCAGCTGGGTATGGCGGTGCATGCCTATAATCCCAGCGGCTCTAAAGGCTGAGGCAGGAGGATCAAGCGTTCAAAGCCAGCTTCAGCAAAAGGGAAGCACTAAGCAACTCAGTGAGATCCTGTTGATCAAATGTGTTAAAAAAAAAAAAGGGGGGGGCTGAGGATGTGGCTGAGTGCTCCTGAGATCAATCCCTGTTAGCACCCTCCCCCTGCCAAAAAAAAAAAATTCAGCATGTGCTAGTCAGAGATGAAGATGTATTTAGGAAGACAGATAAACATTCAAGGGAGAAAGGCCATCAAGAGATGACTTGGAGCCAGGCACAGTGGTGCACACCTGTTATTCCAGCGTCGCAGGAGGCTGAGGCAGGAGGATCACAAGTTCTAGAACAACTTCAGCAACTTAGAACCTAAGGATTTAGACCCTACCTAAAAAATAAAACACTAAAAGAGGTTGGGGATGTGGCTAAGTGTTAAGTGACCCTGGGTTCAATCCCTGGCATCAATAATGTCTTTTGGGGTAAAGAAATACACAAATACACGTTCAAGGGAGAATAAGGACCATCCCCAGATGGAAAGAAAGCAGCCCTTTGTTCAGGGGTGTTGCTTTTATGGGACAGTAGCTAGGACTGAACTAGAGGTGGAGTCAGGGCACAGTTACTGCACAATTTCACACCAGCTTTTCCAGATCTGGCTCGAGGCTCTCAGGCTACTTTTTGTGGACAGGGAAATAGGCCAAGGGCCTGAACCCAGGTGGGTCAGGTTGCTCAGGAGCTGCTTATTTATTTTTAATACATTTTTTTTTATTTGTAGATGGACACGAGACCTTTGTTTTTATTTTTGTGGTGCCAGGGATCAAATCCAGTGCCTCAGGCATGCTGGGCAAACACTCTACCGCTGAGCCACAACCCTGGCCCCAGGAGCTGTTTGAGACTCATCTTTCTCTGTATCCCCAAATTCCTATCTCATGATGTCTGATGATTACACATCCCACTCTGACCTGTGTCGAAGTCCCCTGCTCTGCCTAGCATGGACCCGTTTAGGGGTGGGGGGTTCTTTTCTTCAGGGTTATAGTCAGGATTGGCTTTCCTGTCTCACTAGGAGGCCAGCATGTATTCATTGAGAAGTATTGTGTAAATGATTGCTACTCCCAGGATATACTAAGGACCATTCCTCAATGAACACGAATTTATTATTTTTCGTACTGGGGATTGAACCCAGGGCCACTTAACCACTGAGCCACATCCCCAGCCCTCTTATATTTTATTTAGAGAGGGTCTCCCAAGTTGCCTAGGGCCTCTCTAAATTGCTGATTTGAACTTCAAACCTCCTGCCTCAGCTTCCGGAGCCACTGGGATTACAGGCATCCATGACAGGATGGCGGGAATACCAGTTTCTTGTCCCTGGTTTCTTAATGTTGTAACTTCCTGAGTACTAATCTTTCATTCCACTTCTCTCCTTGGCTGACAGAGTAGCTCTGCTGGGGATGGGAGGAACTTTAACTAGGATGTGACCCTGAAGGTCAGCTCTAGCCAGTTCCACGTGGATGTCCAGCAGGGGAGCTGCCCACATCACCAAGAGAGGTGGCCTCCAGCAGTGATGTCAAGGCCCCCTGCCTCTTCCTGCCTCCCAGAGGAGCTGGTATAGAAAAGGAATTGAAAGGCAGCTAGAGGTTGTCCAGTCTTTGATACTTAAACTCTCATTTCCCTAAGGTCTGGGGTAGCTTCCTACACTTGTTCTTAGCCAAAAATCAGAGAAGCATGCAGCTTCCTACAGAAACTTGGGCAATCAAGAGTTCACGTGTAGATTTTATTTTATTTTTTTTGAGAGGAGAGAGAGAGAATTTTTTTAATTTTTTTTTTTTTTTTTTAAGTTCTCGGCGGACACAACATCTTTGTTGGTATGTGGTGCTGAGGATCGAACCCGGGCCGCACGCATGCCAGGCGAGCGCACTACCGCTTGAGCCACATCCCCAGCCCTCACATGTAGATTTTAAACTTCCACTTTATACTTCCGAGTAGCAGGGAGAAATGAGAAATGTTAAAGGACAAATGAAAATCCTTACAAATATGTGATGCAAATATCAAGGATTATGTTGAACTCATTAAGATGTTAAAAGCTGCCAGGTGTGGTGGCACACACCTGCTGAGGCTGGCTTTTAGCTCCAAACCTCCTGCCTCAGTCCTAGCTACTGTCCCTTAAAAGCAACACCCCCCAACAAAGGGCTAAAGCTGGAGGATTTCCGGTTCAAAGCCAGCCTCAGCAATTTAGCAAGGCCATAAGCAACTCAGACCCTGTCTCAAAATAAATCATAAAAAGGGCTGGGTATGTGGCTCATTAAGTGCTCCTGGGTTCAATCCAGTACAAAAAAAAAAAAAAAAACCAAAAAACTACAATGTATACAGTGTTTCCAAATACCCAGATCAAAATATGCTAAAGATTTATATTTCCACCCTGAAGGTGGGCCTGGTGGTTCATACATTTAATCTCAGCTACAAGGCAGGCTGGGGCAGGAGGATGACAAGCAAATTCAAGGCCAGTCTCAGCAATTTAGGCCTTAAGCAATTTAGCAAGACCCTGTCTCAAAATAGAATAGGGGCTGGGGATGTGGCTCAAGCGTGCTCACCTGGCATGTGTGCAGCCCGGGTTCGATCCTCAGCACCACATACAAACAAAGATGTTGTGTCTGCCGAAAACTAAAAAATAAATATCAAAAAATTCTCTCTAAAAATAATAATAATAATAATAATAAGCTGGAGATGTTGAGATAGGGATTTAGGATAAAAAGAGGACTGAATCTTAAAGGAAATGCCAGCAAGTCACTGAGATTCAGAAAGCACAGCTGTAAATCTTGTGCAACATGCCCTTGGCCTTGCCCTTGTAAGATAAGGGAAATACCCAGCAGGGACACTGGCTGAAATGGTGCACCTTGCCCTGGGTCCACCTTCAGTCCAGTCCCGACGCAGCCTTTGTACAAATATTGCACCCCCACCCCAAGTCAGGGCCACTTATTACTCTGGAGACCATCTAGATTCTCCCTTGACTGTGTATCTGCCTTAAGACCCCTGTCTGTGTATTGTCTGGCTTATGCTAAAATTCTTTTCTCTCAAGTATGCCTAGAGCTGAGTTCCCCCTCTCTCCTTGGGAACTCCTCGGACCCTTCTCCAGAGACATTCCTTCTCCTGTGAAAATGTGGTTCAATTGGGCTGGGGATGTGGCTCAAGCGGTAGCGCGCTCGCCTCGCATGCGTGCGGCCCGGGTTCGATCCTCCAGCACCACATACCAACAAAGATGATGTGTCCGCCAATAACTA